GAAATATTCAGATAATGTGAAAAACATTCGGAATGTATGCAAACCTTTGAAGTAAGAAAAAAGGGAAACGTTTGTAAGATACTTCCGAAGGGTGTGGGGTTAAGGATAAATACTTTTTGTCACTGTTTCAATTTAGGAAATAGTGAACTTGAAACTGTCGGACTACTGGCGGTATTTGACAGCCGATGCAGCTACCGACCGCTGTTAACAAACGAGGCTTTTATAGACCCTGTTTGGAACCGAGCCGAAATATATAATGTTATTATACCTGATCAAGAACCTGTTGAAATCAGCTTTTGTGCTAAAATTAAATATACTTCAAGGCAACAAATTTGAGTAGTAAATATAATAACCTTTTAAAATTGATCTTTTAAAACTGTAACGAATCTGGAAAAAAAAGACAATGCAGAAAAAAATACCCTCTCCGATTCAAAAGAAGAAAACCCACATTATTGGGTCTTTTCTTACCCCCTATGCGCTTCGCAAGCCAGCTCGACGACATTTCCTTTTTTTCCCCTTCTTCTATCCCCACGACCCCTCGTAATGACGCCGAAGCTGTTCCGTAATGCAGGTAATACCATAATATATTTTCGCCCCCGTTACAAACTGGGGCATTTCTCTGTAAAAGCCCGTTTCAGGAGCATTTCTCTGTTTGTTAGCAGCAGTACAGATTGGGTGCCATGTTCATATCAATATGAGGTGGCTTTGCAGATAATACCGCGCACTTGCCAATGATTATTTCGGCCACGTTGGGGTGTGAGCAGATTTAAGGGGCTCTTAAGTTCGGAGACCCCGGCCACACATATAAACCATATCCCGGAGTCCCCGGCTGGTAGTGGTTAAAGCAATAAGTAACCCCCAACATATGGTTTTTCCAGGCAAGTCAGTTAAGTGCGTTATTATGTTGTGGTCAGTCCCTGTACTTCCGTACAGGTTTTTACACGGTATTTCAAACGAGGAAGTGTTGCCTACGAGAAGTCGAACGTGTCACCGACCACTCGATAGGATAACGTTATGACTGCGAGAGGCGGTAATGTCTACGGTGCTTCTTTTATTTAGTGTGAAATCAACGCTGCGATAGGTGACTCAACGGCGGAGTGGTGGATGGGCATAATTGGATTTCTATATCATCGGTTATACATGAACCGCAAAGGCGTGGGTCTGCGCCCAACCATAGCGGGGAAGCGTGTGAGTGATAGCAAGATAATGCATGACATGCTCGGTCACTTACAGGGAAAAGACCTCCTTTTTTCAGCTCCGTCGACTGAGCCTTAAAGAAATTAGTGCAAAAAAATGAATTCGTCATGATCTGACGACGGCAAATACCTCAGAACATAGATTTTGTTATAAAAATTAAAGAAACCGTATGAGCAAATCACGCATAGCCAATGAACAGTCGAAATTAACAACCGTAAGTCACGCTAACCTATAATTACACCATACTTTTAACTGCAAACCGTCAGCGACGGTGCGAAGCTTTGTGTGGCGGACTTCTGAGGCAATTTTGACGGCTGAACGCAGCTCCGATGACAAACAACCTTTAGAAGACCATAAACGGGAGAGAATCGAATCAGCGCGCGAGTACTGGTCTCCGATTAATGGTTCGCGTTACAACCCCGTGCAGACTGTGTCCTTCTTCACTGCGATATAATTACAACTGCAGCTCCGCAAGAACGGCAGCTGTCCAAACACTCTTACTCCGGAGCCAGGGTCTTCCCGGGTTTTTTTTAATGTTTAGTTGATATTTGTGGAGGGGAAATTTATGATACAATTTCATGATTTCGAGAAAAAAAGAAGTCGCGCGTTGGCTTTTTTTCAGCCTGAGAGAGTAAAAGACACCACAAGCACGTTAATTTAAGTCTGGAGATGGCAGAAATCCGACAAACGTTCTTGAAATGAAAGAACTACGCTCGAGCGTGTCCAAACATTGAGGAAACTGAGAATTACCACATTTCCATTCGGGATGATTGCTATGGAGATCTCACGAAGCTTCTGCTCGCTTGTTGTTTGATTACAATAAACAGCACGCAAGCTATACTTTGCGTACTGTCGCGTCATATTGCCATATGATGCAAGATACGGGGGCGGAGAGAACCCCTCCCCCGCTTTTGTGTTGGTCGTTGTTTGATCGAAATCTCAGGAATTCTTTACAGACTTCTAGGGGGGATGTGTTAGGTAACACATCTTGCACGGTATTCATATTGCACCGACAGGAATTTCTGTGAAAAAACGGCCCGAGAAATCAAAGTAGGGGGCGGTGGAAAGTTGGAATCGGGTCAGACCTTATTGGCAGAAGTGGGGAAGAAAATTGAAAGTCGGGCCTCCTTTTTAGGACACACGGTCTTCCCTGAGAATGTTCGAGCCTGCACAAGATCGAAAATACACCTTGGCCATTATCTGCAAGGATAAAGAGCGACTTGAGTTCTTGTTATTTGGTGTATAGCCATAAACAGTTTTCATTGGCATCAACCCGACGGAGGGAGAGAGAAACGGATGATTGCGCAAAGCCGGAAGCCACGACTACAATTTAGGTCACATAGGCCGATCGACCTGATGGAAATATTAATGAAATCACACACCCGATCCGACTACCCACCGCTACTTAAAAGTGGGGCATGTGCAGCTAAATAGCCACGCTCTAACTGTGGTGCTAATATATTATTGTATGATGCAATACAGTAGGCACACTTATAAGTGAGGCTTGTTCGAGCTTTCTGGTTCCCAATTTTTTTGACGCTGACTAGCCTCACTTATAAGTGTGCCACTGTATTGCATCATACGATAATATATTAGCATCAGAGTTAGAGCATGGCTATTTTGCTGCAAAGGCCTCGCTTGTAAGTAGCGGTGGGTAGTCGGATCGGGTGCACCACAAGATAATGTACTGAGGACAGGGATAATTGGTTTGACATCAAATTTCATTCTTTCAAAGAAATTGATATTCCTCCGGAGTACTTGATGCCCTAGTGCCAAGTCTACAAAGGCAACCAGAACGAGAAGACAACACTACGACACGCAGTTTGTATAAACGCACGTTTCAATACATCTTCGACCATCAGAGCGTCGTGACGGACTAACATTTAAGTTCAGCCGGGAGCGTGTTTTGGCAACCCAAACCACGAACATGTTTCAGTTTCGGTCATTGGTTAAGTGTTTTGGCGACCTCGGCTGTGCCTTGTGACGTCATTATTCTAACCGAACGAGAACCGAAGGTTGGAGCTGGTTCGGCGCCGGCTCAAAATGGCGGAAAATAAACAGTTTATTTTTTTGTCGCCCCTCAAATAAGTGAATTATACATTTTGAAATTTGTTGTTACATGCAGCGAATCAAAGAGACACTTTCTTCTAGAACTTACGTGAAAATAGAGAGCGGCACTGGTGAGAAGCATGCCAAATATTGAGTGAAACTGATGTTCATGGACAGTGTCATCTGCTTCCTTATGCATGCCCCTGTCAGATGACGTAACCGTCTCTGATTCTTCCTTTTTGTGGGCCACCCTTAGCATGTTCCTGGTTATTGCTTCGACGTCGCCAAAATACACCCCTGAAGTTTACGGGCGCGCGCGGCACGTTTGGGAGTGTGGTGTCCACTGGCGTCTCTCAGTCTCAAGATATTAAGAAAATGCGCTCATAAGACATCGCATGCTAGTTTGAACGATTCGTCGTCTTGGAACCAGCTGTCAGTGACACGGAGGGTACACATAATGTTGGTCCTGTCGATAAGTGGATGTCTTGACTAATAACATACTCAGAGGAGAATTAACTGGGCGACTTCGGCGGCTTACATCATCCACGTACGACCGTACGTCATTAATAAGCAATACGCCTATGATCTTCCCTTTAAAACACGACCAGAACGGTTCAGTTGGCGTCCGCGTTTTTCTACCGTTAAGAAGAGAAAGTGACATCGTGCCACCTGCGCCTTTCTGTAGCACAGATCATTTGGAGCCGTTTCCTAGCTTCTGCACAAAGAGTTTAATTCTGCGAAATTCGGCTGCTGACATTTCATTCTGTTTGGTGAATTAAAAACCGAACTTGGTCACTGCTGTCCCAATTTCAGTTGAACAAAACATTGAGCTCTTTTTCAAGTCTTCCGTGGCCTGTAAGAACATGTTATGTGTTTCCAGCCCAAGGTATAGTAAGATCCCGTTTCTCAGAAAAGGCTTGAAGCTACCAGCAACACGACATCGCGAGTCATCGATCATCTTTTTTCTCTGTATTCGTCATCTACCGCGGTGATTATGTTTATCTCTTCTAGAAAAGACTTTCTTCGGGATGACCCGGGTTTTGTCTTCTGGTCTTCCTGCACGCCACATTCAGCGCACCTACATTGTTTCTTTTTAAAACAGCACAATACAATTACAATACAATTACATACAATTCGTAGCACTTAGGCAAATGACTGCCGGAACCCCGGTAAATCCTACTTAACAGTCCCGAATCCTCCAATTTCAAAATGAACTGTCACACATCATCGAGACATGAGTTTGAATACATTGGTCTAAATACATCAGAAATAACCAAAGGACTCTAAAGTGTTCAGGGTTTTTTAAATCTCGTTACCTCAACGTCTCCTCAATTCAGCCCGTCATTGGGACTTTATTCGCTATGTGACGCGAAAGCACGAAGCCATTCGGCAAGATCTCGACGATATAAAAGTAAAACGGGTAAAACGACGTCATCAAGACGGAGCCAAAATTGGTTTATGACAAGAGGGACCTAGGTAGAGTTTTTTTTAAAGATGTCATTGTCCATTTTTATAGCAAGAACAATACGTCCGAAGTAATGTTCTTTGAGAAAATCAATAGCATAATGGGATATCAAGATATAGCAAAAATTAAACCCAAACAAACTGATTTGACAAAAAAGGATCAAATTAAACACTGGACATTGAAAACACAAGGCCAGAACAAGATAGAGTTCATCCAAGGTCTGTAAGTAATACCTAAAAATTCTGTCATCTAGGGTAACGGTACACCACATGAGAAATATACTGCTCACCTTGTCAGCGTTCAGCAATCGATACAAATAAGCTCTGTTCAGCTGACGATGAAATTGCTTGGTTGATGCGCACGATGATATGCAGTGCGTAGGTCTATGCCCCCGGAGAGCAAAACGGTAAATAACCCACAAACTATGCACCAGCGTATTCTTCCTGAAAGGCGAAAAAAAGAAGACGAGTGCTGAGAAGCGCTGGGACCTTCTGGCCGCGAGAACCAACTGACGGACAAAAAAATATGTATATATTCATACCAAGAAAAGGACCGAGGGCTTTCCTGGCAAAGGAGCACTTGTCGTTGGGGAAAGAGCAAGGAGGAGATTTCCCTTCTCCGTACACAATCCTGTTTGCTGGGGGTAAGCTCGCTCCTTAAACGCTGTCGAGCCCACTGAGTCGGTGGTGATGAGGTAACATGCCTACCGTGAGCTGGCACCCCCGCACAGGCAGCATGCGCGTGTGCGCGGTCACGAATCCCGGACTTGACGTTGGACGGGCGTCGTCGCTGGTAAACTGCGTCGGCCCTCAGATACATATATCTTGTGTACTTGCTCATGATGATGTTGTGCACCAGCGGATCGGGAGGCGGGCATAACGTCGCGCTTTCACGCCTCTGTCCTGGATGCACCTTTAACCCGTAACAAGACTAGTGCAATATTAAGTACCTGTGCGTATTATGAAACTTCCCCCCCCTGCCGATACACCATCGCAATTATCATTCCTAAAAGAAACCTACGTCTACAATCATTACAGGTATGTTTGGACTTAAAGAAAAATTAAACACGAGATCCAACAGGGAAATTGTAAAAAACAGAGAAAGTGCACAGGTTTTAAGCGTCATAATGCTGTTGTAGTACAATTCATTTCAGGAGTTAAAAATAATGACCCCCCATGAAAATCCATGATTTGCAAGAATGTGCAGGATTAGGATCTATTTTGCTATTTTGGTTAATCCAGTAAGATTCCTAAATCGAAGTTTGGGCCACTTTTCAAAAATACAAAAATAATACTAAAGGATCTGAGGCTACACGGATAAATGTACCACAAGACGCGTCCTAAATACAAATGGAATGGACATTATTATGGTTATTAGCGTTCCCAGCAATCGTCGTCGGACAGTGTTTAATGCTGTGCACTCTTACGATATGGGTCAATTCATTGTGGGTGCGTTGTGCCACGCAAGTGCTTTGCTTTCTACCGTAGACGTGCTCATCTTCTGATGAACGAGCTGATGGGACTTGGTTTTTCAACGAGTAGTGCGTGCAAGAAAGCTCGAGCGTTATATTGAATCCCAAATGGAGACAGATGAGCGAACGCAAAGGGGCACATTGTGCATTGTAATGAGTTCGGCGAATCATGAAATGCAAGGATGGTGATGAAAAACGAAAATTCCCGATTTATGGACGTACACGATGACAAGCATTGGAAAAACAAAAAATGCTTATTTTAATAACATGGCCTAATAAATTACATTCAAATTTATAACTTAGCTTCAACCTAGTAATGCACGCAGGCATTTTCAAATAACCACACAGAACAGTGAACAAACAAATCCAAACCAAACCATTTCCGAATATGAATTAACCGAAGTCAGTTCTCTGAATCGACAAATGTTGGGAGAGAAAACATCCTAGCGAATAATTTTATGGAAACAATTATCATATTCCCTGCAGTGCGTTGGTACTTCTATAGACGCAAAGCCTGCACCGCCACAAACAGCACGAATTAATAGCGTCGGGATTGCAATCGGAGAGAATATGGGAAGCATATTCGAGTGGCATCAATCGCAGGTCAAGTTGAAGACCGAGCCTCGCGGGAGAGGTGCGAGGTGACCCGTGAACCTGGACATGACAAGGAAGTTCTCGATCTTCTGTCATGGTTTGCTTTGGTTCTGCTTAGGTCGGAATAATTTGCAGAGTAATAAATGCTTATAATTCAGTATACCGGCTTAAAAATACAAAAGGAGACACCTTCTGAGGCAAGCTACTCTGTGATTGCAAACATCGCCGTCTATAAACTGGGATCTGATATGTCCATAGAGGAGATCTTGTTTACAAGCTGCAAAGCAGCATTAATCAAACACTTTCCTCTCGAAGAATGGGCTTGCGATAAGCTTAACCTCCAGTCAGAATTTTGCATTTCCCCACATCCCTCGACCTACTGACTGATTCTGCTAGCTCAATCTGCATTGTACCAGCAACCGGTATCACGCGCATATACTTGCGCGTGTACCTCAAATGTTTACAAGACCCTGGATTCAACAATTCCTGCGGTTTTTTTTTTGCTCACGCCCTATCATCACACAGTGGGCTCCCAATGGCACGAGCTGTTCTCGACACAAGCATCCCGCCTGATTACATTATACGGAGTTGCACGAGCCCCGGACGACAAAGCACTCCTGTCCGGAAACCGGACACGTGTATATGCTGAATAGAGATGACACTTGACTACCCGTGGTGCCAACTCATTGGTTATTCTGTGTAATATGCAAATGTTGGATCAGATGCAAAATGACGCGTGCGCTTCGTTTCGAACAAAGAAAGTAACTGTACCTATGCAACATTCTCGATTTGTGTCCGTTACAAAGTGTAAGTTTAACATCACCAAAAGTGCTCTTACCCATTTTGAATTTAAACCCATTTAGTTCCAACTGAAAATGTGGACTGTACATTATGAGTGGCTAACGTTTAGAAACTATTCTCTGTTGAAACAAAAATGCAGCTTACTGTTCTCGCAAATCAATAATGATCATTAATAAAAGGAAATACAACATACTGAAGAGTCTAGAGATGGATAAAATAGGTGTGTAATGCTAACAGGTGTTCCATCGGAGGCCTCTGTCCGCTCATCCTTGGCTCAATACCCTGAGCTAATGAGCCTATAGGAGAGATCACAGACGTAGAGAGTTGATGCTGCCCCATAGGTCAACACAGTCTCAATATTTGACAGGGAAAAGAGCACCTTTTCACAGATGCGTTCTCAGTACGTGTCGTGATCTGCACTCTTTTGGATTTTTCTAGAAAGTGGTTATTTAAACGTTTTAACGTTTTTCGATCTTTAACAAGGGAAGTGAAGACACACATAGCAAAAATCTTTCCCATGTTTCTATTTCTAATACTACAAAGCTAGGTTATTTTCTATTGAGCCAAACCCTTGAAATGTTTGCCTGAACTCTAAGGTCGGTCTATCAATGTCCAACGCCCAATTACGTGCGCCCTCCTGTAACATGAATTTTAGTATCTCAGGCAGACGCAGTATAGGTAGGCTGAATGATAAAGAGTTAGTTTCATGCACAACCTTAGCAACTAATAAAAAAAATTAAGCATCTGGCCTCGGCCTTCTTCACAGTGCTGCACATTTCGAGACTTAAAGTGGTACAAATCGACCCTTTTTTACACTATTGGTCTGCTACTGCAAGTAGTCAATATTTGTCCCACGAGCTGTTGCTATGGATACGCCACAATCGTACGTCGTCCAGAACTGTTGAATACGTTTAGAGTCATAATTTTCTCATCTGAGACTGCAACGGCATAATTGAGCAGATACTTTGGTGCGTGATCGGGGCGTGCGGATGATTGAATTAATACATCGGCTTGATGCACCATGCTTCTGCAAAAGGACTACTGAATAACATTAAAGTTCTGTTGAGTTCACAAGCATGCTACCACGAGAGGGCGCTCACTTTCACACCATCCTGCAGTCTGTTTTGCGACGACAGAGGCCACAGAATGAGAGAGCAGTATGAAACAACAGAGGGCGTGCTGTTTCATTTTCAGGCAGCACAGTATCATGAGTGCAGAGCAGGAAACTAGGCACTTCGTGACCTGACCTTTTTCCTCTGACATCCAAACAATGAAATACAACAGCTCTTAAGCAGTGGATTCTAAAGAAGTTCAAACCCTACAAACAGCATTATTTTAAGACAAAGAAAATAGCTACGATATCGCACATTGGGCCTACCTCTAACTTCTCACATTTATAACAAGCCTCGTACCCAGAAATTATGCGTTGAATGTCAAAGTTCTGCTAATCCAAGGGGAAATTCACAAAACGGGCCAAGCTGCAATCAACATTGTCTCGATGTTCTCGTAGTATGGCGCCCTCTGTATTAAAAAAAAACCTAAATAATTCACAGCGCCATATCGAACGCAGATGTACATGCTCTATTCATAACGGCATAAAATGCGATGACGTTCCACTGAGAAACTCAACCATGTTTAAATCTGTTGTTATAGGTTCCAAGAAACGAGATAATCAGAGTTTGACTGGCGTCTGCACTGTACCAAGTCAGAGGTCAACTTCATTCCCTCGCTTGGAGCAAACAAAATGTGCATTTTAAACCACATTATCTCCTGTCTAATTTAAGAATTACGATGCAGGCTTTGTCAGCCTCAAGAGTTTCCGCGCAAAAATATTTCAATAAGACAGAAGAAAAAGAAACACCAGCTTTATTCGAGACATGCACAGCCAAAGTGGCACTTGGACAACCCAGCCACCACAGCGAGGAATAGAAGACGCGAGGGTGCTAAGCCCCATCTTCAGTGAAAAGCACAGTACCACTACAAAAGTGAAACAGCGACACAACTCAAGACCATTCATCATGAAGAGGGAAATGATTGTGAAAACTGTTAGACCAGCAATCGTCAGTAATCTCTGGTGAGGCTAAGGAATCATAATTCAAAGTTTTAACTCCGCTTCCCGGGGCGGTAGATTGCCATGTAATCCCATTAGCCTGACTGGTTGAGCCGTGACATCTGAGTGACGAGCGTTAATTGCGCGGGAAACCAGCCCCCCCCCCCGGTGATTTGCCCTGCTCTCTGGCTGAGCACGAACACAAGTCACGAGCGACCGTTTGCGTGCAGTTCCAATACTTCCAAAGTCCGCGGTCTGACGGGTTTCGAGGGGGGGCTGGGATGCTCTTCAAACACCGAGGCCCCTTCGTTACCCAGGTCCCAATGACGTGCTTCTCTTGGATAGATCCATTTAATGCAAATGATGTTTACATGAACGGCGTAGTGAGCCATTCTCATGATCACGAACCTATAGGCTTTTATCACCAGATTTCCACGTATTTTTCCCTTCAACTTCAAAAACACAGTCCATAATAGGCGTTAATAAGCCTCATTGGGTGAACAATTCACATTTCTCTTCGGTCACGTTTCTTGCCAGCATCTAGAGAGCTCGGGAAGGTCTTTGTTAGCCAATCCTTGTAAGAAATCTTAACGGTTTATTATAAAGTTCCGTGACGCACAAACGCAACGTTGCCCGAGGATAATTATGACGTCAATTATGCATCAGTTTTCCCCCTGCATTGCATGCAATTACGGTACGACAGGAACAAGACGCAAGCTCTTTCAAAAATAAAACCTATTTGCAACAAGTCTGCTCGAGGCTTACTATCGTGCTCAGCTAGAATGACGCCCGGAACTGGCCGAACAAATTGCTTTCGCGATCGAAATTCAATTCTTTACAATCAAGCAGTAATTAAAATTATCAATTGGCAATAAGTGAGGCGCCCCCATTAAAAGTTGTTCCTTAGATCCCCCCTAGCTTAAGTGGGGCTCTTTTGCCCACTCCAATTGCATTTTCATTTTTTTCCCCATAGTGCAGTGACATATTCAGCTTCTACAGTTATCTTAATGACAACGCAAATGACCTATAGTTCATGAACCAACCAAAAACAAATCGACTCGCAATATCTTGAATTGACGACAGAAGGTGTGGTATTGCGGAATCGAAGCGCCGTATAGGCCAAATCGCTTGCAACTGTTCCCAATGTCAAAATAGATTTGTTGGCATCAACGGTAAACCCTGTCCCAGATCACTTCACAGACTATGCATACCTAAGTACTTGGGACAGGCAACACTGTTCACGAGCATCTCTACGATCTCATGATGCGGTAAGGATGTCGTATAATGTGTATGGAGACTGACAAATAAGAAGATAGATTACCTCCTCCCCAGGGTTCGACTCTTGACCTTTCTGTGTCCGTACTTGGATAATAGATACCAAGCTGGTTGTAATTGAGATGTGAGAATGTGAGCTAGCGGTCGGGAGTCAGCCCCGCAGCAAGGAAGGCGTAATTCGTTAAACGGCTGTTGGTCTTCAGCAATCAGCCTCGATCGACGGAGCATGTCTGAAATGCTCTGCATAGCAACCGGCCAGTGCCTGACAAATTCGTACCGCGATCTTGCATTGGTCCGTCCGGTTTATCGACGGATTCGCTGTAAACGGCCCGCCTATTGGCGGACGGACGCACAAATGGCGAACCTCTTGGAACGCAAACTGGTCCGCGTGTGTTTCAGTGGCCACCATCAATATCACGCGGCTCGGTGGGCAAGCTAAGGAATTGTTATCCGTATCGAGATAAGACGAAAAAGGGAAGCAAGAAACCTTTTCAGCTTCCTCCATGGTCAAACTAGCAGTTGAATGCAACGCGTGTGTGTAGCCTTTGCTGTGGAGAGGGCACTTCACGCAATTGGACCGCGGGAAAGCTTTTTGGCGGGAAACGACGTACTGAGGGAGTCGACATCGTCACTGGTAAAACAGGGTCAATATTTCAACAAACATCATTACTCGACGACATCGAAAGTCTCCTCTATGTAAGTACAAAGAAATATACTTCAAGTATAAGTAGCTACAGCCTTACATACCTTGTGTCATAGTCCTTGCTCTCTGCTTGTATAAATCATACAGCATGATCACACAATGCCTACACTGAGACCGTGGGGGGAACTATTTTTCGCGCATTATGGAAGCGCCCTCTGTGTATTTTGAGTTGTCACACTTCAGGCGAGCGCTTGACCTTTTAAACCAAGCTCACAATGATGGAAATAAAATTGTTTACTAAACGTGCGTACGTACAAGATGTCCGTTATAATATCAGCTCGGTGTGTGGTGTTGCAATGCCAACTTAAACTGAAATAAGCATTCAAATGACTTCAGTGTTTTACCCAAAGTGAACCAACAGGCATCATGGCGATCAGGGGCATTTGGTGGACAAATTAAAAATGGCGACTCAACGACGCCATTTTGATGAACTTTTATCAACCTTGGTCAGTCATCAGCACACACACATACAAAAACTTGCGGAAAAAAATCTAGCGTTAAGATGTTTTATGAATGTGACAGGAAAGGCCAGTAATAGCTTTTAAAATTCACTGGACACAAAAACACACAACGTAACCGCTTGTGCAGCTTGGGTCGGTAATCAGGTACACTGATGAATGAGCCGTGCATTTTAGACGACAGTCAGCAGCAATACTTTCTACATGCCAAAGAGTGGGGAAAATCATTCTCAGTAAGAGCGAGTGCCTCATAAAAAAAAATACTCCAAACGAGTGAAAACCACTCTAAAAAGATTACAAGTCATCCTAAAGGGCGAAAGTTCCCTTCCTCAAAGGACATTATAATAGAGAAGGATAACCCGAATAAGAGTAGTCCAGAGCTCCTCTTTTAGAGTGATTTCCACTCTCTTTGAGTAGTTTTCTACCTTTTTGGAATGGTTTTCACTCTCTTTAGAGTGGATTTTCACTCGTTTGGACTAGATTTCCTTTAAAGGGTGAGTGTTTCACTCTGTTGCCTTTAGAGAGTGCTGTAACGAATACCAAGTCGACAATGGCCATGTTAATAACCTGCAGTCCGCTCACCAGCGATATTCGACTTTCCGAGTACCGGGAAACACGTGAGTGTCACAGTCAATGACACAAAGCCCATGTTTTATTGGATGCATAGTCACATCGTCTGAAAAATGGGTGCGAATATTGCTTTAACACACCCAGAGACCACTGCACGCGTTGCAATGGAAACTTAGAATCACACGAATCTTCTCAGAGAACAAGCGATGTACAGAAATTCATCCGTGGGCACGGCAACCTCGTTGCACTGAAGTTATGGTAACGGTCGAAGCCTGACTCCATATTTTGAATGAGATGAAGAGAGCCAAGCCAGGACAAATCATCAGCGCGAAGTCAAAATGTAACCCACTATTTCCCCGAGAAGAAAGGGGATAGCCCTATAAGCAAAGGTCTTCAGGGAAGAGCACGGAGATCCGGTTTAACGGCTCGCATGCAGGAGATTTGGCCAAGGTCCCGCAGAAAAAAATAAGCATCTCCCAAAGATGAAAGCCTGTGGCTATCCTTTCATTAACGCATCCAACTCCATTATGAAATACAGCAAAGTCAGACCAGGTCTCGGACTCCGTCGGGTCTGTGACTGAAGACTCGGTATTCTTTATACCATTTCAAAGGATTCAAAGGATATTCGTGACTGAACGACCTTTTGCAGAAACGGAACTAAGTTGAGACAATACAATACAGCAAGTATGGTGTTTTTTCACTTATGTCCGGTATTCCTGATTCTCAAACAGCCTTGTTTAGAGCAGGGTTCTATGTAACTGAACGCTGGCAACAGTAATCAGTTAGTTCCCCCTCCCCCACACACAAGAATGCACAATATTGACATAATGGTGAGAGGCATTCCAGTACGTGGTCTTTACACTTTTCAGTTCTGGTAGGGTATTACCATTTAAACAGGGCAACGTCAAACGAATTTGTATTCTACCTTTTTTTTCTGATTTGCACTTTAAAAGACTTTTCTAAACATGCAAGAATAGACTTTTCATGATGGTAAATCTACTTTTTTTCAAAAAGTCCGTTTCGATCTTACTTTTGGTCTTGTGGAAATTTATATCTGACTCACCAGCATGGACGATTTTTCTCCATTAGGCCTATGCTCATTAATTAGAATCTCTGATGCACAGCATTCTTCATGTATTATGCATTATTCTTGCGAAATGAATATCAACTACGTTTCGCAGTAAGCCTAGTGATTGAACGGTTTAACGATGCTAATTAGACATGCCTAATTACGCGAGCGATCATAACGGGCGCAGAGTCCTGAATGTGAAACATTTCATGGCTCTGTTATGCGTTGACGGCTCGCTGGGACGTCTTCCCGGCACACGACAGTTGCCTCGTCGCTGTCGGAGTCGTCACCCTTGAAATTGAGAGTGGTCCCAGAGGGGTGAACGGGATTGGAATTTCCTCCGTTGGATTGCAATCTCAAGTGTTGGCTGTAAATAATGACAGCAAACTTTGGGAAAATTCTAGCGCGGCTGGGGGAACAGACACGCACATCTACACGGAGTCTTATTAGTTAAACTTTGCATTGGGTACATATACAGACACTTCGCAAACAATCCTGCTCCCCTCTACAGACAAATTAAAAGAAAAAAATACTTCGCTTCACGCTGCCCATATTACAACAGCTAAGCTTTCGTATAAACAACTTAAATAAAATCCGAAAGTGTTTTCGGTACTCTTTCTCTAGATCCAGACATAAAACATTTGGAAACTATCTCCGACACACGAGCAGATTTCAATCTCACAAGGCAAACTATAAAACTGAGGTTGTATGAACGAAATTGAAGTTTATAGAAACCTTGTGCTCTATCTCCATCAGAGCAAACAGATCAAGGTTTATTACCAAGGGTCCTAGAATGTGATTATGTATCCACAAATGGTCCACACTGAGCCACCGTTGACCATCAATTTGCTTGGATACACTCTCCATTATACCTCGCAGCACTCCCACATGCCGCCAAAACGTTCTACCAAAGTCCACATTACGACAAATGCATTCGAAGTTCTTGAAAGGAGATCGGTTTCAATATCTGCTGGTTAAATTTCAACAGAAAGAAATTCAGTTCAAGATCCCTCTTTCCGGCTGAGGAGGCTGAAGGTGAAGAGGGAAAGTAAATAAACGAACAGCAACCAAGATAGATTCCATCACAACAGTGACGAAATCTTTTTAAATTAAACAAAATTACGTAATAAATCTGATCAATTCGATGCCAGTGACATTGTGGTCAACTGGTGTATAGCAAAGAACTTGCAAGGGTGTTTTAAGCAGCTTCATTCGGCGCCACGATGACAAAGAATGTATACTACAACATAAACACCCAAACACAGGACTGCCCGACAACATGCTGTAGCATAATGAAAGGGACGTAGAACGGTGTCTCGATTCGTTGAACAGTTTAATCGCTTCCAGCATTTTCGCAAAATGAAACATCGAAATGAAAAGTGCGATCGTGCACGAAGTTGGCAAAAAAACTTTCCAGTAGCCTGTAGTCCACATTTTTTATTCACGTTATCTCTTTTCCAGCACTCCGATTCGCTCCATTCTGAAGTTGCACAAAGAAAAATAACGATGTGTCATCGGATATTACATTTCCGTCCGTGAACTGCAATTTTTACAATTAAGAAGTGGCGGGTATATAACTTTTGATTCATAAACTAGCGAGAAATATGCACCAGGTGCTCTCTGTTCACAAGGGCCCCGCTGCCGGATTTCAATTTTCTCGCTTATCCACTGAAGAGTGGCGAAGATTTGCGTGGGTAATCGACTGCCGCGCACCTAATGCCGGTCTCTGAGTAGCATTGACATCAACAAGCGTGTCTTAGATCAGCTGCGGCCAGCCGATAGCTAATGGCGCGTCAACAACCTCGAGTCGATAACGTGATTTCCGAAGCATGTGGAGTCAGTTATAGTGCCTTCTGCCGTTAAGGGAAGTACCAGACGGGAAAACAAACAACTCTCAATGAATTTCAGTGCTTCACTGGATAGTCAGATTGGAATTCGTAATTTGCAGCGCAATGTTGAGATTGGCCGTGCACGTCTTTTATGGTGAATGTTTTTGGTCATAAAAACCACACGGGTTGAAATAATGAGTGGGACCCGTCATTATGCTTGGCAACCGATCAAAACCAAACACTGCGAAAGATAGTACGAGGTAAAAACGGTCCTCGACCCCACTAGACATGGGCGTCTCCAAGATGTTTTCCAAGTGATAGGGGAATGGATGGATTGGGTATGGAAGTGTCCTAGGGCAAGAAATTTTTCAACCATTCTTCCCTACAGAAGGACAAAACACATGCCAATTATGGCATTGCTGGCTATCGTAATGCGCGGATGCGCTGGTAGTCACAAACCCTTTGACATATCTTTCTTTGCGAGTCCACAGAGTGATGGTCCTGTATCTAGTCACACGCCCATCTTTTATTGACAAGTATTTCTACATGGGTCCACACAGTGATGGTCCTCAGTCTAATCACACACCCATATGTTATAGGCAGGTCTTTCTGTGGGTCCACGCAGTAATGGTCCTGTATCTAGTCACACACCCATCTGTTATTGGCCTGTCTTTCTACATGGGTCCACATAGTGACGGTTCAGTGTCTAGTCACA